CAAATAGTATTTCTAAAGAGTTAGAATTAATTGACAAATCTAATTTGATTAGATATCGATTAAAGGAATAAATTAAATTAATCAATTAGATTGATTAATTGAATTTTGGATATTAATTTAGTAATTAATAGAATTACTAATTAATAGTTGGAATTTAAAATTGGATTTTAAATTTCAAATCCAAATAATAATAAGATTATTAAATAAGGAAATAGAAGAATAGATTAAAATAATAAAGTCTTGAAAAATGTTTTCAAGAATTATTATTTTATTATTTATCTTTAATATGATTGAAGATTAGATATTAATAAGAATAAATTAATTATGGTGGTTTGGAGTTGTTAATCAATCCACATAATTAATTTTATTTTTATAAAATAATAATGATTGATGGTGGTTATAAACCAATCACGTTATTAATTAAAAGTCAATATTTGATGGGTTTGATTTGACATTGAGTAATATATACGGTCATAAAATTGAGGTATATAAGGAAAAGTGAGGCAAAATATCTTGAAGGTTGTATAATGATACAATTGTCAAAAGTTGACTACCGATAAAAATGTTTCATGCGTACTCATAAAATTGGGATATGGAATATTTTTATTGGACTTCAAGCCCACTATGAAAATTAGATTTTCGTAATTAAAATAGGAGTTTTAATTAAAATAGTGGGAGACATTTAATGTTAAAGACCTAATATTAAATGAATATAAATTTCATAGTCTGATTATTTTCTGCTTCGTTTGTTTTTGTAGATCACTCTACTAAAATGGCTAAGAATCCAATTGCAAGTATTCTTGAACAAAACAAATTAACTGGACTCAATTTTAATGATTGGCTGAGGAACCTGAAAATTGTTCTACAGTCTGAAAAGAGGGACTATGTATTGGACAAAGCCCCTCCTCCTCCACCCGAGGATCAGACTTCTGATGAGTATGGAGAATATTTACGTCATACTGATGACAATCTTCAAGCTCGGTGCTACATGTTAGCATCAATGTCAAATGAGTCACAGAGACAGAACGAATTGTTGAATAATGCTTCTGAAATCCTCCTTCATCTACAAGAGTTGTATGGTGATAGGACGCGGCAAATTAGATATCAGATATCTAAAGAGCTTTTCAGGTGTCGTATGACTGAGGGCTCTTCAGTTCATGATCATGGGCTGAAGATGATAGTCTTGTTGAAAGGCTTTCGTCTCTTGGAGTCATTATGGATAATGAACTCTATGTGGATCTCATGCTGCAATCTCTGCCATCGTCATTTGATAGCTTTGTTGTTAACTTTAACATGCATAATATGGAGACTTCTCTGCCAGAATTAGTGAACATGTTAAAGACGGCTGAATCCACAATCAAAAAGGATAAACCGGTGCTTCTTGTTGGATCCACTACTGGATCAAAGGCTTTAAAGTCTAAGAAAAGGAAGGGGAAGGGAAAGGTTCCCAATA